ATCATATGATGTCTGATTCAAAATGGCCCAAACCCGTCCATTTCAGCTCACAAATGCCTGGGATATTCATCTTTGTGCGTTCCATTTCATTTTTGACAACGCTAATTTTTGTAGATTCATACTCCATACATTCCATGTTCTGATTATTAATGGATGTTTGCAGCTGTTTTTTTCTCATTCTGAGTCATGCCCCATCAGCAAATGAAGGTCCCAAAGCTTTGTTCCACTCATGTCATTAAGGTCAACTATTTGAGGAGGCAGCTCTTCCTCAGTTATAGTTTGAGTGGTTTCCACCCTGAGGGGCTCATCTTCTGGCACTGTATCAGACAGTGTTCTGCTATTCACAGGTTTTCACTGGCCAGTTTTTTTTCTTTGTTTTTGTTTTTCTGTCAGAAGTGGACCTAGCCATGTCCTTCTTCCTAGTCTGTCTTAATCTGGAGGCCCTTTTGAAACTTGCCCACCATGGGTGACCCTGCTGGTATCTGACGTACCGGTGGCTTAGTCTCCAGAATCACAGCAGCACACAAGCCGCCGTCGGTCGAGAAACTGACAGAGAAGGCAGCACACCTAGCCCTGCGTTTGCCCAGTGTGGTCCTCTAGGGCACCAGTGGAAAGGCATGTGTCCTGGCCACTCCAGCCCTGGCTTGGACCCCTTGGCCCACCCATGCCTTCAGGCAGGTTCTCAAGGGCAGGCTGTCCATCCCTGCAGCTGGCTTAGCAGAGAAGGTGGCACAGCTGGGCAGGATCCTGCTGAGTGCTCACCTGAGGTGTCCCCAGCGGGAGTTGCCCGGGCCGCGTGCCAGGCTGGTCATTAAAGCCACACCCTTGTGGCATTTCTGTTACATTAGGAACTGAGACGCCTTGCCCTCCCAGCTGAGGGGTCTGTGGCCCTGAGCCCCATTGCCCTTCTCCCTCTTCTTCACTTTGAATCAGTGACTTTGTCTCAGTGGATGAATGCAGAGTGGCTAACTGTGTTCAAACTCAGAGCAGAGTTCAATAAAAACACGAATTTTAGAGCACTCATCTCACCTGAGATGGGATCAGAGACTTCAGAGCAGGAAGGTACCTTTACGAAGGTTTATACACACTGAATTACACATGCACGGTCTGGTGAATTGGTGTGTCTTTCGTTTATGTCTTTTCACCACCATGAAATTTTTTAAAAGATTTATAGACAAAACCCTTTCTGCATAAGGAAAACGAGGCCCATGGGGACTGCCCTGTAGTTGCTCTGCTGGTCATCGGCACAGCTGTGACTGAGTCCCTTCCACCTCTTCTCTTGGTGTGAGTGTTCTGGAGAGAGCCTGTCTGTGGTCTCGCCCGCTCCCTGTGTGCAGGATCCAGCCCCACACACTCATTGAGTTGGACTTGACCTCAGGATCCTCTTGGTCATAACTTAATGTGCTACGTTCAATTCTTTCACGTTGCATTCAGGATAGTAAATTGCAACTTGATGTCCAAACAGGAAATAATAGAGCATTTCATAACACGGGTGTAGCCGTGGATGACAGCTGCCACTTCTCATGTGCCTACTATGTGCTGGACACCGTGCCAGGAGCTTCACGATTCCTAACTAGACCCCAGTGCAGCCCTGCCAAGTTCCGTCATTGTGCAGATGGAAAGCTGAGGCTTGGGAAGGTTGAGTGACTTAACCAAGGCACTTAGCTAATAGGATGCAGAGATGGGAAGGAGCCCAGTCCTTTCTGAAGCTTTCTGTGAAGCAGGCTCCCTCGGAATGGGCCCCGAATGACTGCACTGTAAGCATTCTCGTTTGTCAGACTTGTTTTATTTGGAAATTTCTCCTCTAAGTGCTGTGTTGCTGTGTTTTGCCCCTAGGAACTGTGAGATGTGACTTAAAACGCACACAGACACACACAGCCCTTCATGAACTGGAGGGTGTCTTCATTTTGTCTACATGCTGGGAATTCGTTTATCTCAGCACCTGAGGAGTGGGGATTGTGTTTCAAACCTTCCCTGGTGCTGCTTCTCTTCTGGGTTTTGTTCATTTTGAAGATTGCTTGTTGAAAGTGCTCCATTGTGAATCCTCTCGTGTCCTGCTGTCCTCGCGGTCCAGCCTTGCAAACCCTCTCACATCCTGCCACCCTCGCCATCCAGCTTTGCAAATCCTCTCTCATGCCACCGTCCTTGAGATCCAGGCTTCCGGACCCTCTCGCGTCCTGCCGTCCTCGTGGTCCAGGCTTGCGGACCCTCTCACGTCCAGCCGTCCTTGCGGTCTAGGCTGGTACCTGTTCAGATCAGAAGCATCTTTTCTAGCAAAGATTTTCCTTCATGGCAACAACCTCTCTTCATTGGGTGGCCTGTAGTTTTCAGAGACAGAGACATGGAAGAAACTCGGTGTGATGTCGTGTGCAAAACGTGTTTGATATGTTGCAGAGGTGATGATCATGCTATTTAAGAACCCGGTGCTGACAGAAATCCTAGGATCCTGTTAGGAGAGGGGCAGCGGGGCTTGAATGTGGCCCAAGAGAGCATCTTTCCCGCTTCCTTCTTACTTAGTTGGGTGCCCCGCCCCCGTCCCGTCTTTCCTCCGTGGTTTCCCATCACGTTCTAATGGTCTGCCTGCTCCCCCAGCTGGTCTGCTCAGCTCCTTACATAAAATCGCGTTCTGGACTCAGGAGGCCTGCAGTGGGCACAAGGTTTTCTTTTCATGGGTCATTAAGATCTGATTTCCTCTTTTGAGGGAAGGACAATACTAGATTACTGTGAGACTGAATTTTAAAATTAAGACTCAAGGAAAAATTAATAAAAAAAAAACTTAGTAGTGACTGCAATGGCAGCGTAGCATCTCGTCATAGAGGGGACGTGTTTGTTCCCGATGTCAGTGTGCCTCTGATCGACCCGTGTGTATTGAGTGCCTTCTGTGTGTGGAGCTCCGCCGGTGCAATCAGCTAACGTTCTTGGCTGCTGAGCGAGAGGTCGGAGGTTCGGGTCTACGCAGGGCACCGCAAAGGAAGGCCTGGCTTCTGCTTCCAAACAGTCAGCCGTCGAGGGCCCTATGTGGCTCTGCTCGGTCACACAGGTGGCTGCCACGCGTCGCAGTGGAGTTGGTGGCGACTGGCTTTCCTGTGTAGGCTTCGTAGCAGGTGCTTCCTTCACCTGCCCACCCAGCGTGATGGTGATTGTTGTTGTTATGTGCCACTGAGTCACGATGGACACAAACTACCTCGCAGTTGCAGCCTTAAGGATGATGCGTAAAGACCGGGCATGGTGCGGGTGGAGCCTAGAGGCTTCACCTGGCCTGTTTGATAGGCGTGTGCGTATGGGCAGGGGTGGGAGGGACCTGACTTGGTGCTAGTGAGGTGCTGGGGGCCAGATGTCGTCCCTCTGTCCCTCGTCCTCTGTCACGACCCCCTCCGGCCACCTTCCAGCCCTGAAGCTGACCTATGTAGACTGCTCCAGCAGGCCTCTTGGCAGGTGAGCTTCCAGTCAGTGGGGCAGGGGGAGCCCCTGCAGGGGTGGGAGGAGGGAAGAGAAGGAGGTTGTCCATGGAGTGTCAGCACCCCCTTCAGGGCAGCTTCTTGGTCCTGGGTTCTAGGGACTTCTCCCCATCCCGTCCCCTCAGGGTGGCGACAGCCTCTGCAGATGGGAAAGAGGCCCGCTGTGCTCACAGTGTGTCTGGACGCAGGAGTGTGTGTCCGCTCACCCCCATGCCCCCCGGAGCACAGCTGCCCACCGTTCACTCTAGCTGGGAAGACACGGCAACAGCAGTGCTGAGCTGGGAGCGGCAGACTTCAGTATACAGACACAGAGACACACGCTCGTTGGGAGTCCAGGCAGGGCCTTCGTTGAGGGCAGAAGAATGAGGAGACCAGGCGTGGGGCTGGAGCTGGGCGCCCCTGGCGCTTCCCCACAGGCTCCTCGCCCAGCAGCCCAGGCAGCGCTGGGGAACCCGCTAGAAGGGAGGCTCTCAGATCCCACCCCAGCCCTACAGAGTCAGGAACCCTGAGGTGGGGCCTAGAAACTGCATTTTCCCAGCTCTGCAGGTGAGTGTGGTGCACACTGCAGTGGGAGGGCACACCCAACAACGCAGAGGAAGGAGGAAGGAGGTGGGAATGTCTGTCTCTTGTAGCTTTGTTTGGCTGGTTTGTTGGTGTGTCTGAGAGCACAGTGTGAGAAATAACCCAGGGTGGACAGCATGAGACCAGCTCACCAATCGTTACAAGAGAACAGAATTGTTACTCAGCTAAACGGGGTGGAGGAGCACTAGCCTAGAAGTGGGCCTGTGTCCTCCCCTTCCCTCCTCTTGGCCTTGTTGTAAAAGGACACTTGGACCAGACAGGGCACACCCCACTATGAGCTCATGCTTTTTGGAGTTTCGCACTCTGCTGCCACCAGGCACTCAATGGCCACCGTCATTATTTCAGCTCTAGATTTTTTTTGTTGGTTCTGGTCACCACTGATGGTGTAGCAGACTGTAAGGAAGCATTGAAGGTTTGTATCGCGGGAAAGGAGGTTAGCCTACCCAGAGCCGACAGAACGCGCTGGGAGCAGAAGCTGGAAGAGGCAGTCCTGGTGGGAACGGAGAGGACAGACAGGAGGCAGTTTCACGTGGGAATCTGTGTGTGTTTCCTACGGTTGCCGGAACAAAGTGCCACGAGCTGGGTGACTTCACGCTGCAGAAACACGTTCTCACCCCATCCTCGGGCCCGGAGTCTCTCGGGGGCCCTACGGGAGAATCTACTCTGTGTCGTTGTGCTAGCTTCCGCGTTGCCGGCAGTCCTTGGCCTATAGCCGCATCCCTCCAATCTGGACTCCATCTCTACACAGCGTTCTCCTGTCTCGTGTGTCTTGAGTGCCCTTCTCCTCAGGACACTTGGCATTGGATTTAGGACCCACCCAAACCTACTATGGCCCCAACTCATCCCACGAGCAGAGACCCTGCTTTGAAGTCAGCTACCATTCAGAGGGTGGATACGAATTTTGCTGGAGACATAATTCAATCCAGTGTGTATATTTTTAGGAGAAAAAGAAAAGGCGGAATGGGCAGAGTGGAGACTGAAGTGGTGGGAGACGTGCAGGTGGAGATGGGAGATTCTGCTGCCTCTGACTTGGGGGACGCGGTCTGCCCTGGCAGCGGCGGGTGGATGCAAAGAGAGCAGATTGTGGTGCAGGGAAGAGTCCGTCCTGCTTCTGGGGCCGTGCTGTTCCGACGAGGAATGTTTGCTCCGAGCACAAGGTGGAGCGGATGCTCAGGACATGGGAGGGAGACCTTGGGAAGGAGCAGGCCTGCCTCATGCCGTTGGCCGCGGAGGCCTGGTGGTGGTGTCTTCCACTTTCTCTCATGTTCAAGGGGCTCGGACCCTCAGCTGTCAGCGTGGCTGGCGCCTAACCACGACGTGCAGGGGCCGTGTTATCATTGCTAATGTTTCCAAGAGCCTAAATTAGAGCAGGCCCTGTGGAGGGAGATATTTAAAATAATAGATAATGTGCCATCACCTGTTTCTCTAAAATTAGGTTAATTCTGTGACGAACAAAATAAATGAAAGTCTCTAGCATTGTTAACAAGCATTCATTTTGGGTGGTTTTCGGTGTACAGAAAAATTGCAAGGATGGTGCCGTGAGCACGAATGCCCTGTACCCCGTTCCCTGTTACTCACATCTTACATTAGCGTGGGACACTTGTCACGAGTGACCAGTGCCGATCCTTCAACATCAAAGTCCATACTTCATTAGGATTTCCTTAGCTTTTCCCAAATGCCCTTTTCTGTTCCAGGTACCACATTATATGTAACCCCAACTCCTATTGGAACAGCTTTGTCAGCTAGAGTGCCATCCTGATGTGCAGGCCGAACCCGGAGATGCACCTGCAGCTTCAGGTGCAGACCATCGTGTGAAGTGAATGGTGCAGTAAAGCGAGTCACATGAGTGTTTTCGTCCCCCAGTGAATGTAAAAGTTATGTTCACGTTATACTGTAGTCTATTCAGGGTGCAATCTCTCTCTCTCTCAGACCCAACTCACAGCAGCCCCTCGTTGGGTTTCCAAGGCGGTATCACTACAGAAGTAGATTGCCCAGCCTTCCTTCTGAGGAGTGGCTGGTGGGTTTGAACCTCCAGCCTTCTGGGTAGCAGTCCAGTTTGAAATATTGTGAGAATGACTGAAATGGGACAGAGGACACAGAGTGAGCACATGCTGCTGGAACGGACTGGCTCTGTGCAGAGTGGCCTCAGTCTTCGATGTGTCTCTGAAGCACATTGAAGTGAGGTCTGCCCGTCCAGCTCCTTTGCCTTCTGTCCAACAGTCTCCACTCATCTCCACAGTTACTTAGATCAGAACCTTTTGCCTCCATTCCCTTCAGTGGGGCTATAGCACACGGTCCAAATACGATGAAATTCTTCTGTCAGTTTGCGTAGCGTCCTGGCATCCCTGGACCCTCTAGTTGATTTTTCAAAAGATCTGCATTCAGTAAGGTTCACGCTTCATGCCATGGGTTCTGTGGGATTTGAAGTGTCACCTCTCCACCACCACGCCGGCATACGGAGTAGTTTCACTGCCCTCGCCGGTCTCCTGTGCCTCACCTCTACAGCCCCCCTTTCTCCCCAAACCTCGAACAACTACTCATCAGTTTTCTGTCTCCAGAGTTTTACCTTTCCAGAAGTCACGTGGGTCACTGGGATTCTCCACTTAACCATATACGTGTGAGCTTCCTCCCTGCTATGTGGATTGGGCCGTTTCTCTTCATCACTATGTCGTGTGCCGTGGCGTCCGGGTGCCGCAGTGCTTACCCACTGGTCTGTTCTGGGCATCTTGACTGCTCTTGGTGTGGATGCAGTGGCTGTAAGCATTGACACGGGTTTTATGGGGTCTTCAGCTCTCAAATCACGAGGGTAAACCCCCAGATCTGCAGTCTCTGGGCACACGGTGAGACCGTTAGCTTTCCAAGAAACTGCCGACCCGTCCTCTGCGCAGCTGCGCCATCCTGCACTGCCATCTGCGGTGACTGACAGGGCACGTGGGTCACCTGTTGCCAGCGGTGGGCACTGGGCCCCTGGTTTCCGATGTCTGCACCCCAATGGGCGTGCAGAGGTGTCTCGTTGTCTGAGTGTGTGTCTCCATGAAGGCACGGGTCCTGAGCATCTCCCCATGTCTTCCTTGCCGTCTCTGTCTTCTTTGCTGCAGTGTCTGTTTAGACCTTCTGCCCATTTTTAGAATGGGGTGGTTTGGTTTTTACTCTTGGAATTGCCGAGTTCTCAATCTCCTTCTGTAGTGATACCACCTCGAAACGCAGGGAGGGGTTGCTGTGAGTCGGATCCGACTCAACGTCAGTGAGCGTTTGGAGTTGTTTATGGGGTGCATGAGCCCCCCATGTCATCTCCCGGTCTGTGGCTTGTCTTTTCATTCTTCTAGCAGTTGCTTTCAAAGAGCAAAGGTGTTTTCATTTGAGCAAAGTCCAACTTGCCACTTGTTTCTTTCTTGCATTAGGTTTTGGGTTTTGCCTAAGGCATTTGGCTGCTAACCAGAAGGCTGGCGGTTCAAACCTTCCAGCTACTCCTCGGAAGGAAGGTTGGGCAATTTACAATTCTGTAGTGATACCGCCTTGGAAACCCAAGGAGGGGTTACTGTGAGTCGGTCCAACTTGACAGCGGTGAGTTTGGTTTTGGTTTATCTAAAAACTTAACCACCAAACCCATGGTGACAGCGGTTTTTCTCCCATGTTTTCTTCTGGAAGTTTCCCATTTAGGTCTGTGGTCCACTGTGAGTTAGTTTTTGTGTGGAGCGTGAGGTCTGGGTCTAGGCGAGGTAGCCCAGCAGCGTTTGTTGAGAGCTTGCTCCTTCCTCCATTGCCCTGCCCTGCGCCTCTGTCCCCTCTGCTGGCGTGTCTGAATGGACTCTTTCCCATTCTTCCTGCCTGAGGGTCTGACTTCGCTCTGCGAGATAAAGCTCAGATGTCCTTTTCTGCTTGTCTTACAGCAAGACCGCTGGTGCAGACCCTGCCTTTAAGGACCACTGTCAACAACGGCACTGTGTTACCAAAGAAACCAGCTGGCTCTCTGGCGTCCCCCTCCGGGGCCAGGAAGGAGACTGGTGTGCTGGCAACCAAAAGGTAGGCGAGGCGCGTCTGTGGCACCCCTGCGCACAGCTGGAGAGGTGCTCAGAACGAGCAGAGCTCTGATGCTCACTCTTCGCAGTCACTGGTCCGGTGAACACTCGTGTGGTGCAGCATTCGCCGTGTCGCCACAGCAGAAACGACGTGATTTTGTCGCTTGGGTGGGTTTGGGTTTGCTCACAGTGTGTCTGGAACCTCCTTGGCCCACAGCACAGTGTGCCTGCTAGTGTTTTCACCTGCAGTTCTCTCCTGGGAACAGGAAGGAAGCCCAGCCCGTGCGGGGAGCCTGCTGTCCCTGTGTCCCTGCTTGGAACCAGCAGAGTGCAGGGGGCTCCCCAGCCTGAATTGTTACCTGTAGCGCCCGACAGGCTACCCTGCCGTTACGCTGAGCGGCAGCTTCACGTGGGGGTGTTTGGCACACCACCGTGTGCTCTCACTTTCCTCCGTTTCGTAGAAGTCCTGTTAAAATCTCCTGTGACCTGCCAGGCCACTTTGCTAAGTGTGCAGGCTTGGTGGTGGCTTGTGAAGGAAGACTGTGGGACACCCTCCTGCCCCAACCTTGGTGGCTTCTTACGAGAACGCAGCAGCCCCTGGAGCGTGGGTGGAAATATGAATGGCCACAGGTGCACTGAGGATGTGGGACATGAGGACACACCCAGGACACACCAAAGACTGGAGATGTGAGGACATACCAAGGACAGGGGATGTGAGGGCACACTGAGGGAGAGGGGACGCGAGGACACACTGAGGGAGAGGGGACGCGAGGACACAGCAAGGACATGGACTGTGAGAACACAACCAGGACAGGGGACGTGAGGGACAGGGGACATGAGGACACACCCAGGACAAGGGATGTGAGGACACACTGAGGATGGGGACACACTGAGGATGGGGATGTGAGGACACACCAGGGACAGTGGATATGAGGACACACCGTGGATAGGGACATGAGGATAGGGCTGTGAGGACACACCGAGGATGGGGGACGTGAGGACACACCGAGGACAGGGGATGTGAGGACACACCGAGGACAGGAACGTGAAGATGCATTGTAGCCATGGGATGTGAGGACACACCGTGGGCACTGAGGATGCCCAGCGGGCTTGCAGGAGTTGGTGTCTGACTCTGTGTGAGGCAGTGACTGGGTGTGACATCTCCTGACCCGACGTGGAGTGTCTGCATGAGGGCTTGTCCTCCACCGCACACATTTTCATTGGCAAATCGTTTCTTGTCCTTCCAGTCCGTGTTTGAGGACATTGGTTCTGCTTGGCTCTTTAGAACTTTAAAGTCAGCTTCTTGCCCCTCACCTCCCACCCATCTGTTTAATACTTGATGGGTCGTTTTTATTTTTCATTGACACCAGATGACCTGTGGATTCTGAAGAGCATCAGTAGGTGTGGACAGTGATCACAGCATTGACTTTTCATACAGCAAGTGGTTAATGAAGGAGACGCCCATCCTTTATTTTTAAAGGCAATGGAACTTCAGAATTCACACCTCTTTAATATTTGGGATTTAAATAAAAGAAAGGAACTTTTTCAAAGCAGAAAAAAAGAAGAAAGTGACAGTACAGATGGAGGTGTCATCTTTAGCTCGTGGTTCGCGGTGCCTTCATAAGAGCTGATGCCAGGTGTTCTTGCTCATTGATGGGTAGTCGCTCTGTGTTGGTCCCAAGTGACTTTGATGTTGTGCACTAAGCCCTTCACTGAGCAGATGGTTCCAGGACTCATTGGCATTTATTAGAATTCTTAGCAAATTATATTTTGAGTTCTGGTACTCGAAGCAGTTATTCGGGGTCAGATAAAGCTAGGGAATGGGATTACAGAAACTAACCTCAGGAGGAAGGCCGAGCTGTGGAACATGGCTGGTTCTTGCCCGCAGATTGTGTGAGAGACAAGGGGGCATGAGCCAGTCCCCCCACCTTAAACCAGCCGTGGTGGAGAAGGCAGTTTTGGGTGATCATTAAAGCCTAAGTGCCTGGGTTTTTGTTTGTTTGCTTTGATACCAAATACTAGTCCTTTAAGCAGCCTGCGAGGTAGGTATTATTTTCCCGTTTTTGCCAGTGAGGAATCTGAAACTTAGAGGAGTCAAGTACATTTCCCAAGGGTCCCATGCTAGAGAAGGGGGGTCATGGGCAGAAAGCCAGGTCATCTGGCTCCAAAGCCCACTCTTCCACTGCTGCTGCCGCCCATCAGGCTATCAGTCGGCCCTGGTGTCTGCTCGCCAAAAGCACTCGATGTCCTCACCGCCTGGAAACCATTCCTCACTGATGCTTCACTGTGTACATCTTGTTAGACGCTCTGAGGGGCCACAGTGAATGATGGCAGGAATAGCAGGCGGAAGTAGAGGACTCCAAGCACTGGCACCTGGCAGAGTGCAAGTCTCAGGGACAGAGCTCCCCGTTGATGGGGGCTGCAGGGCAGGAACCAGGCTGTGATGTGTGAGCAGAGCCCTGGAGGCTGTGATGTGTGAGCTGAGCCCTGGGCTCCTCCCACTCTGTTCAGTCCTGTTGGAAAGGGCTCGTGCGTGGTGATTACTGCCCGTGATTTTATCAAAAGGAAGAGAGACAGGCAAGGAGAGAAAAGAAGGGAAGAAAAATATAGGAAACACCGTCATGTTTTATGTGTGTGTGTGAAGGAGCCCTGGTGGCACAGTGGTTCAGTTCTGGGCTGCTAACCAGGAGGTCGGTGGTTCAAACCCACTGGCCACTCCACGGGAACAGGATGTGGCAGTCTGCTTCTATAAACATGACAACCTTGGGAACCCTGTGGGGCAGTTTGACTCTGTCCTCTAGAGTCACTGTGCGTCAGAGTGGACTTGGCGGCAGTGGGTGGGTTTGTAGCACGTGTGTGCCTGTAATGGCGTCAGATGGTAAAGTTCCTCCCAGAAACTGACAGGCTCCGTAGAGGGACCTTGTGCATTTACGAAGTAGTCAGTGTGAAGGACCTGATAAGCTGTGTCAGCATAGTGTTGCCAGTGAGAATCCTGTGGTTCTGGTCTGTCCAGACCCGTGCCTTTCAGTGTGAACCAGAGTGGTTCTTCATTTTGTTTACGGCTGGGCTTCCGGGATGCGAGTTCCCACCGTTTGCAGGCTGGAAACGTGAACAGTGGCATTCACTCATTAGCCTGTGGCAGTTTCTACAAATCTGTCACTAGGAGAGAGTTGGGAGACAAAAAGGGGCAAGTGGGGCTTTCGAAGTATCAGGATTCAAATAACTCTGCACCATTTCTACTGTTTCTGGGCCTGTAGGAGAGTTTCGGTCTCAGGGTCCAGACCTCGCCTGTTGGAGCGTGTGGTACTTGGTTTGGTACGTGGTTAGGTACGTGCTTCCTCCTCTCCTGTGTTTTCCCACCTGGCGCCAAGGAAGAAACCCATTGGGCTGTGCTTTGTGTTGCCAATTAAGTCTTCAACTAGGGCTGGGTTTGGAGCCTTTGGGGAAAGCTTTGCTTCCATTAATCGGAGGAGAAGCAACAGAAAATCAAGGGAAGACACTGGGTCCTACCTGCTCCGTGGGGATGCTGACGTTGATGATAGCCGGACGTTCCCACCGGCTCTGAGACTGGAATTCATTCTCCCAGCCCCCGAGGAGGACACTGTGGGGCAGCACCGTGAGAACAGAGAACAGAGAAGACGGGCATGGAGTTCCATGAGAAACGCTGGTACCAAGTAGGTAAGATGGCATGGGTCTCCTGCTTCCACACAGCCAGTCTGGAGTGGTGCGGGAGATCACTCCGCTTGTCAGAAATACAGCTTTGTAGCTGACCGAAGGCAGTGCCGGACGAACGCACGGTTTCCACACTAGAAAACCACAGTCTGGTTTGACTTTATTTTAAACAATTATTTCCAATATACTTCTCTGTTATTCAGATCCATTGCAACAAAGTGTTAAATTTAACAAAGTGTTGAAGTCGCGTTGTGAGTCTGTCGTCAGGAGCTAGATAGAGATTGAAGAATTGTGCTGCCTAGCACAGGACAACCCAGCAGGACCTGTCCCTGGATCAGAAGTGAGAGTTCCCTGCTCAGGGCTCAGGTCTGTCATCTGATTCTCCAGCCACCAGCCCTTCTAGGAAATGACTCAGGTAGCAAAAGATAAGAGCCATTCTCAATTCAGTGGTTAAGTAAGTGATCTTGGTGGGTCCTCAGGAGTCTCTCCTAATTTGCTGCACAAGCCTGAAGGTCTCTCCTGGTCTCTGCTGTTGGCTCTCCAGGGCCCAGCCTGGCACCCAGGTGGAATTGATGCCTAATCAGTGTGTGTTGAGTGAATAATCGTTTTAATGTTTTTCTCAATAAAATTACCAGAAAGCAACTGGTCCTGCATACAGGCTCTCTGCCAGATTTCTATTTACTTGATTGTAAAATTTTGAGGTCTTTTGCAAAATTTTGGAAAACCAGTCTTGGTTCCAAGTTACATGATGATGGTGAGGCCTGTCTGCAGCTTATCACGCGTGGAGTTACTGTGTGGCCATGACAAGAAAGGCGGCCACTCTCCTGGTCACCAGTCACTGCTGCAAGAGACTTGATGTCTGCAGGTGGCCGGGAGTCATGATGGACTTGACAACAGCCAGCCTTTCATCTACAGGGACAGCAACACTAAGTGCAACATGTAATGTAACGTTGAAACGGTCATGTTTTCAGAACTTGGAAGGGTCGTGGCTGGGAAGTGAGGATAGAGAGCAGGAAGGAAAGAAAATGATGGTGCTGTCCGGGTTCTACGCCAGCATCTCACCTGCCATCCTCACTGAAGAGTCTGCTGGTGCCGGGCAGTCCCTCACAAGCCGTCACCTCTACCAGTTTCCAAACGGAGCCTGGCTTTCCACTCACTGCCCAGCAGGCGTGTGCCATCCCCGATACTCCCCACTGTTCCCGTAAGTAGGCCTCCCGCCTGAGTGTACACCATTGCTCTGGCCGGCCGCCCTTGTTACGCGGATGTCTCATCTTCACACTTTGTTTCCTGTCTCTCACTGTGAGCCCTGGCAAGTCCTCTTCAGTTTACAAGAGCTCTCAGTTCTCAAAAGGAAATGCCTTGTGTTTTGGGTTTTCTTTCTACATATACAATAGTAGATTAAAAAAAAAAAAAAAGTTGAATATTTCAGTGCAGATGTGTGATGCAAATACATCGTGAAAGGTGGCGATGCGAACCAAACTGTTTTCCCTTTGGAGGGCTGCTGGGTGTTCTGCGGCCCACTGAAGCCCGTCGACCGTTCTCCCGCTCTGACTCCTGCACTCACGTTGTTCTCTGCTTTGTTTCTGTGCCTCTTGTGTAGATTGAGCAGGTCTGTGAGCCTTCTCAGTGTATGTGGACTGCACAGGTCCTCACCGAGGGAGGGGCGTTCCATGCCTGGGTGGCCTCAGCTGCTCTGCCTGTAGTTTCAGCTCCCCTTTCACACCGGAGCTTACAGATCGTCTTCACTGCCTTGTTGATCAAGTCCGAAGTCGGTAATGGGTTCAGGATGGCCATCAGCTGGTGTCTTGGATGTTCAGCAGGACCTAGAGACAAGTGAACTTCATTCCGTGTTCCATAAATTGCAGGGGATCTTAGGTGACATGCGGGATGGCCGGGGATGAAGTCAGCCCAAGAGACTTGCATGGAATCTCAGAGTCACTTCATGTCCTGGAATTTGTTTCTTCAACTGCAAGATGGGGACACTGAGCCTTTTGTAGGGCACTTTTGAGGTTCAAATGAACTGAGTGAAAGGTAAAGTACTCAATATACGGTTAGTGTCCTTGCTGCTCCTGGCGTCCCCATCATTGACAGCCCTGTGAACTCTTGCAGCCACTCACTTGAGGCTTAATTATTAGACCGTTGGTAATGTTTGTCTTAACTGATGAACAGTCAAGGTTTATCAGCTCTTTGAGGGTGTGTGGACAACTCATAAAGTTGTCATGAACTTGCTGTGAGCTCCAAAGGGAGCCCAGGGGCTGTGGGTCGGTGTGAGCTGCTGCCCCTCTGTCTCTCTACCTGGTTGGCACACACCATGCTTAAGAGCCTTGCTAGATCCTTGGAGAAAAATCCCACCAAGTTAAGTTAAAGGAGCCCTGGCAGCACAATGGTTAAAGTGCTTGGCCGCCAAACAGTAGGTTGGTGGTTTGAACCCAGCAACCAGCCTCTCCATGGGAGAAAGATGTGGCAGTCTGCTTCCATAAAGATTACCCATTGCTGTCCCATCTATTACAACTCATAGGGACCCTATCAGACAGGGTAGAACTCCCCATGGAGTTTCTAAGGCTGTAATCTTCATGGAAGCAGAGGCTACGTCTCCTGTGGAGCTGTTGGTGGGTTCAAACCGCTGACCTTTGGGTGAGCAGCTGAGTGTTAACCACTGTGTCACCAGGGCTTGTTCCCATAAAGATTGCAGCCTTGGAAACCCTATGGGGTGGTTTACTCTGTCCTGTAGGAGCACTGTGAGTCAGAACTGACTCAGTGACAATAGATAAATTAGCTTGGTGTATTTCCTCTTGAACTTTGAACACACAGGTTTCCAAAATCTTTAGACTTCAATCCCAAATTTCAGGAATGTAATATACTCCAAGATCAGTAATTCCTTGTTTCAACATTGAACATTCTAGAAGTTCATTTTGTCCTTACAGCCCAGCATGTGGCCTCCAGTTGTAAGATATGGTCTAAGGTCAGTGCTTCTTCACGTACCAAAAAGACTATGCAGAAAGCGTATTAAAACACACGCAATTAGTACCATGGTCATTTTGTTTGCTCGTGTTGCCATAAACAGTTGTAGAATGAGTAGATTTTCAAAACCTGACCCACCCTGCTAAAAGATGATTGATTGGCTGAGTGATTAGAGGTTATACAGGGGGGACTGGCAGCCGGGCTGAAGGAAGGAGCAGACAGGGGAGGAGAGAAGGAAAGGGCGGTGAGAACGAGGGAGTGGCGGTTGCTGTGTGTCTGCTGCCTCTGTGTGACCCTTCCATTGCGTCCTGAGGAGAGAGACGGCCATGCTGGCTTACAGATGAGGACATGGCCATTCAGGCCGGGAGCCGGAGCCTTGCTGCCCCAGGTCCCTCAGCCTCTCATCACTCGCCACTGAAAGGGGCCTCCCTCTGTCTCTGCCTGCGTGGAAGCCACTCGGCACTCCCTAATCCCTGAGCCTCGCCCCTCTTCCCCCATCTCCTGGTATCTCTGCTACCTCCGGGGGTGGTTTCTTCCCCTCACCACTTTATAAAGAGGTGTTTACTGGGGGCTCTTTCCCTTCTCTTGTCTCCTTCCTCACCCGGTAACCCCTTCAGTCCATGTTCAAAAAAAAAAAGAAAAACTCACTGCCATCAAATCAATTCGACTCATAGTGACCCCTCCTTGTGTTGCTGAGGCAGGATCTCTACAGAAGTAGATTGCCCAGTCTCCGAGGAGTGGCTGGTGGGTTTGAACTGCCAGCCCTCTGGTTAGCAGTCAAATGCCTTAGGCACTACGCCACCAGAGCTCCCCCTAAAGCGACCCAGGTGGATTTCCATTCATTCATTTCATTTAATGAATACCTCCCAACTTCTGTGCTGTACTCTGCGGACTACAATGGTGATAAATTAGAGGAATCTTTAGAAATTTATGACCTAGTGGTGAAGATACACAAATGTCCTGGGGTACCTCCAACAGCCACATGCCAAAAGGGAGCGGCCACCCTTTGCCCATCCTGGGCTCTGGTTCACCCCCATGCCTGTGGGGCTCCCTTTGCCTGGAGCAGGCTCCCCCTACTGGGTAATGACTACGTGTTTATGAGACCTTTCCAGAAACTGACCTTCCACAGAAAGCCTTTCGCAGACCTCCCTCCCCAGACTTCCAACTACTCACGTCTTTCCTGGTAAGCACAAGAAAGTGAGGCCCTTCCGTGGACACCACTTCTAAACCAAGGCATCTCACACATGATGGAATGTCTGTCACTGGGCACTGTTTCGGTTTCTGCCGGTCCTTCATGTGCCCTTAGACCTGAAGTCTTCAATCTCAGAACTATTAACATTTCGGCTGGATAATTCTTCAAGGCGGGGGGCTGTCTGGGCACTGGAGGGTGTTTAGCAACATCCCTGGTCTCTGTGCAGTCCCTGGAGAAGGATCGCGCTTGGTAAAGCAGGGGTCGGTGAACAAGAGGGAGACCCTCAAGGAGGCAGATTGACACAGTGGCAGAAACAGTGGGCTCAAGCACAGCAGGGTTGTAAGGGTGGCACGGGACCAGGCACCATGTCGTTCTGTTTACATGAGGCCTCTTTGAAGAGGAAGGCACCAAACCTGTCCTGTCCCACTAAGATGCCAATAGCAACCTCCAATGTGACCACCAAAAATGTCTCCCAAAAAACCACACTCACTGCCGTTGAGTCGAATCCGACTTGTAACGCCCCCTCCTTGGGTTTCCGAGGCAGTATCACTACGGAAGTAGATTGCCTCATCTTCCTTCCTCCGAGTGGCTGGTGGGTTTGAACCACCAGCCTTGTGGTTAGCAGTCAAGTGCCTCAGGCACTACGTCTATGGACATTGCCCAGCCATTGCCTGTGTCTCCTGGAGGACACCATGGCCCCAGCAGAGAACACAGACGGAGGTCTGCTCAAGGTCAGGACTCTTTCCCGTTACGCCCTAGAGCCCTCTCACACAGTCTCTGGGGGGCTTCCCCATCAGCTTAGAGCTTTACTAATTGCCACAGTTACAGAGAAAGGTGACGCCTTTCTCTGAGCAGAGGCACTGATTCCCAGTGACATACAGAAAAGTATTTTGATCTGTGAAGTTAGGACTATAGAGCCAGTCTAACTTGTAAATACCTGCATAGAAACACGTACATATTGTTACCTAAAAAAAAACACTGCCATTGAGTCGGACCCGATTCATAGCGACCCCTCCTTGGGTTTCCAAGGTGGTATCACTACGAAGTAGATTGCCCAGTCTTCCTTCCGAGGAGTGGCTGGTGGGTTTGAACCGCCAGCCTTCTGGTTAGCAGTCGAGTGCCTTAGGCGCTGTGCCACCAGAGCGCCCGCTGTTACCTTGGCAATACAACAGAGTACTAGTATTTGAAGGTTTCATTGTGATTTGTGTCCCGTTTTCAGTACCATCAAAAGGACCAGCTCCTCTGAAAGAGTCTCTCCTGGTGGTCGGAGGGAGAGCTACGGGGACTCGAAAGGAGGCCGGAATCGGACCGGATCCGCCAGCAGTTCTTCTAGTGGCAAAAAGAACAGTGAAAGGTAAGTGAGGGCTTCTCTCTGGCTCCTGCTCTTCAGCGATTTGATGGCCTGTTGCCCAAGAGATGATTCTGAAGGTCGCCTGGGGTGCAGATGAGCTAGGAGCTCTCCCTGGAGCAGGAGCCTTTCTGGAGAGGTGACTGTAGTCAACAGCTATTGGAGGCCAGCTGCCGGGCCACACAGATGATAACCGATAATAACCGAGGGAGCGAAATCACAACTTGAGCTGCCAGCATCCTTAGACACACGTACGCAGGTCCTGAGAGTTTGCTTAGCACCAGATGCGTGAACCACGGCAGGCTGCACAAGTTCCTGCGTGGAGCACCTTGTGTTCCTGGTACACCCTGCGGTCAGACCACTTCTGCTGGATTATTTTCAGGCTGGCAGCTGGATTTGGAGGCTGAGTAGGGGAAAACTTGTCCTTCTTTGATTTGTTAGAAATATTTTTAATTGAGCTAACACCAGAAACAGGAACCACTTTTCTTTCTAGTTTTGTGAAATGCACTTACTCTGAATTGTGCATTTTTCTAGGAATTTCGTTTATTATGGATTATAATAAATATCTGTGAAACTAAAGGTAACATTTTATCAGTGAAAGCGAAGTGGTAGCGTAATGACTTGTTTCTTGTTTAATTGGTATGCAACAGAGACATAGCAAGGATTGTGAAGGTGGTGCAGGACTGGACAGTGTTCCGTTTGCTGTGCACGGGGTCGCTGGGCGTTGGAGCCGACTGGACGGCCCCGGTCACCACCAGCAACAGCGTCTCGGTTTTTACGAGCGTGTTAGGTACATGAGCTCAGTTTCTCTCTGTGCATCCTCAGCCCTGCCTTTTATTCTCTCTGTATTCATCATATTGATTGTGTTCTTTTCACTCACTGTATGTTGCTTTCCTTCTCTTCAGCAAAGCTGGGGAGGGAACCTCAGCTTCCCAGGCTAGGCATGTTTTTTGTCAGATGTTCATGAAAGGAGAAGGCTTAGTCATGAAGCCATTGACTCCAAACCACAGACTGTAAAAATGCCAAGTTTGTCAATCCTTTCAGCTCATTCCCATGAAAGAAATGTAAATTCTTCTTCAGTTTTGTTCTCAAAAGGTATCTTTTGTAAGAAATTAAAAAAATAAAAAGTGCCGGTGCTTATCACATCTTAAGTAGGTTAAGTCCACAGTCAGTTAACAATTTCAAGACCATTGACAGGGTTCTGTCTTCTGACTTAGGCTGTTAGTACTTCTAATCAGAAGATTATACTAATCAGGTGATAATACTTTGGAAACAGGCTAAGTGGTTAGAGTGGCAGCAGAATGTGAATTAGTCCCGAGGGCCTTGGGCTTCTCTGTGTTAAGAGTAAGCTTTGCAAGTTTTGCAGGTTGACCTGAATAGTCTCCATCTTGGCAGGGCTGAACAACTTGGCCTCTTTGCACATCTGATTTTTATTAAAAATTTCCAAAAAGAATCTGCATTGTGCAAACTTCAGATCTGCTTTATCTTTCAAATCCTGTGGCTTTTGTAAATGTGCTGAGTAAATATTTCCATGAAGGGTATTTACGAAGGGATTTCTTAGAATGTCACAGTAGGAAATTGTGACTTAGATGTGAGGGACTGGGAAAATGGACTAATCATTTTCTAAAAATAATTCAAGCAACCAAACATGTTCATTTCAAAGTAGAGTCTTTGTCTCCTTGTTGTAAGTCTGTCCCGACTCAGAGCAGTCCTGTGACCAACAGAACCAAACACTGCCCCGCCCTACGTTATCCTCACAGTTGTTGCTGTGTTTTAAGCCCACTCAGCCACCGTGTCAGTCCATGGCAGTGAGGGCCTTCCTCTTTTTCGCTGACCCTCTACTTTACCAAGCATGTCCTTCCCCAGGGACTGGTCCCTTCTGATGACACGTCCAAAGTGCGTGAGACAAAGTCTCGCCATCCTCACTGCTAAGGAGCATCCTGGCTGTACTTCCTCCAAGACAGACTCGCTCATTCTTCTGGAAGTCCGTGGTACGTTCGACATTCTTCCCCAACACCGTGGTTCGAAGGCATCAACTCTTCTTCAGTCTTCCTTATTGTCCAGCATTCACATGCATAGGAGGCAATTGAAAACACCATGGCTTGACTCAGGCACAGCTTAGTCCTCAACGTGGCACCTTTGCTTTGTAACACTTTAATGAAATCATTTGCAGAAGATTTGCCCAATGTGATACAGTGTTTGATATCTTAACTGCTGCTTCCATGGGTGTTGATTGTGGATACAAATAAAAGGAAATCCCTGACAACTTCTGTCTTTTCTCCGTTCATCGTGATGTTGTTTATTGGTCCAGTTGTGAGGATTTTTGGTTTCTTTATATTGAAATGTAATCGATACTGTCGTCTTTGATCTTCATCAGTAAGTGCTTCCAGTTCTCTTCACTTTCAGCAAGCAGGGCTGTGGCATCTGCATGTCACAGGTTGTTAACGAGTCTTCCTCCAATCCAGTCATGCCATGCTCTTCTTCACATAGTCCAGCTTCTCAGATTATTTGCTCAGCATACACATTGAGTAAGTGTGGGCAAAGAGTACAGCCCTGACACACTCCCTTCCTGATCTTAAACCATTCAGTATCCCCTTGTTCTGTTCGAACGACAGCCTCCTGGTCTCTGTACAGGTTCTTTATGAGCACAATTAAGTGTTCTGGAATTTCCATTCTTCTCAGTGTTATCAATAATTTGTTAAAGATCCACACAGTAGAATGCTTTTTCATAGTCAATAAAACACAGGTAAACATCTTTCTGGTAAACGTCTATTCTTTGCTTTCAGCCAAGACCCATCTGACAGCAGCAATGACATCCCTCCTCTTCTGAATCCAGCTTGCATTTTTGGAAGTTCTCCATCAATATACTGCTGCAGCTATTTTTCAATTATCTTTAGCAAAATTTTACTTGCATATGATATTAATGATACTGTTTGATAATTTCCACACTCTGTAGGATCACCTTTCTTTGGAATGGGCACAAGTATAGATCTCTTCCAACTTTCTTGGCATAAATGAGTAAAATGCTTCCCGCATTGCATCCATTTGTTGAAACATCTCAATTAGTCTTCTGTCCATCCTGGAGCCTTGTTTTTCACCAGTTCCTTCAGTGCAGCTTGGATTTCTTCTTTCAGTATCACCAAGTCTTGACCATGTGCTGCCTCCTCAAGTGGCTGAACGTTGACCAATTCTTTTTGATACGGTGACTCTGTGTTCCTTCCATCTTCTTTTGATGCTTCCTGTATCAGTCAATACTTTGCCCATAGAATCTACCAATATTGAAACTCGAGGCTTGAATTTTTTCTTCAGTTCTTTCAGTTTGAGAGATGCTGAGATTTTCTTCCCTTTTAGTTTTCTACCTCCAGGTCTTTTCGTATTTCACTGTTGTAACACTTTGTTTTCTTGAGGTGCCTTTGAAATACTCTGTTTAGCTCTTTTACTTTATCATTTTCTTTTCTGTTCACTTTAGCTCCTCTGTATTCAAGAGCAAGTTTCAGAGTCTCTTTTGACATCCATGTTGGTCTTTTCTTCCTTTCTTTTTTTAAATTACTTTTTGGTTTCTTTATGTATGATGTCGTTGATGTCATCCCACAAGTTGTCTGGTCTTTGGTCATTAGTGTTCAGTGCATAAAATATATTCTTGAGATGGTTTCTAAATTCAGGTGGGATATAATCAAGGTTGTACTTTGACTCTCGTGGACTTATTTGAATTTTCTTCAGCTTCATCTTCAACTTGCACTTGAGTAATTAATTTTCTGTTCTGAGTTGTCCCCTGGCCTGGTTCTGATTGATGATATTGAGCTTCTCCATTGTTTCTTTCCATAGACGTGGTTGGTTTGATTCCTGTGTGTTCCATCTGGTGAGGTCCACATGTATATCATACTTTGTTGTAAAAAGGTATTTCTCATGAATAAGTTGTTGGTCTATCATGTGATCCCTGGCATCACACTTCTATCATCAAGGCTGTATTGTCTAGCTACTGATACTTCTTGTTTCCACATTTCACATTCCAATCACTAGTAATTATCAATTTGTCTTGGTTGCAGCTTTGCTTCATTTCAGACAGCAGAAAAAAATCTTTAATCTCTTCACCTTTAGCATTAGTGGTTATTGTGTAAATTTGAATAATGGTCATAGTAACTACAATTCCTCGTAGACACATGAATACCATCTGATCATTGACAGCATTGTACTTCAGGATTCATCTTGAAATGTTCTTTTTGACGATGAATGGGATGCTGTTACCTCTTTAATTTGTCATTCCTAATAGTAGATCACATCATTATCTCATTCAGAATGTCCAACACTGGTCCATTTTATGTCATTACTACCTAGGATATCAGTCTTCAAGCGTTCCTTTTTTTTTTTTTTTTTTTTTAATTTTATTAGGATTTGGGTGAAGATTTACAGAGTAAATTCACTTTTCATACAGCAGTTCACATATACTTTGTCTGATGTCATTGACCAAAATTTACAATGCAGCAGCTCCCCTCCCACTTCCTCCCCATAGTTACCTCCTCCCAGTGTCCATGCCTTCATACTCTTCTGCACCCTGAGCTATCTCCCTGTGCATAAGCAGCCCTTCCTTCTCCCATGATTGTTCTCTCCAGGGCGTGTGTCTACTTGAGGTAAATGTTTAACTCACATGCCTGTACTTTGTTTGGCTAGAAACCACAGTTGTCCATTTCATTTTTGACAACTTCCAATTTTCCTAGATTCATCCTTTGTACATTCCACATTCCATTTACTAATGGGTATTTGTATTTGTTTCCTCTCTTTTGAGTGCCTGTGCTCGGAGGGATTCGTCTTCCTCCACATCGGACAAGGTTCCCATGCGGTGTTTACTGGCCAGTGTTCTGAGTAGGTTGCCAGGTCCTTCTTCCAGTCTGTCTTATTCTGGAAGCTCTGCTAAAACTTGTCCATCATGAGTGACTCTGTTGACGTTAAAATACCAGTAGAACAGCTTCCAGCATCACAACAACACAAAAGCCACCACAGTCTCCTTA